CGCGTGCGCGCACACACAAACACACATACATACATACACACACACACACACACATACATACACACACTCAAACAATTCACAATAAAAAGATGTAATGAAGACGGGTGTAGGGAACAGGAGGCCAGATACAAGGTATCATTTCGGAGAAGAAACTCTTATGGAATCGGAGAGAGACTTCGGGGTTGATATCACGCCAGACATGTTCCCCGAAGCCCATATATCAAGAGGATAACATCAGCGGCATATGTCAGGTTGACCAACATAAGAACGGCCTTTAGAAACTTGTGTAAGGAATCATTCAAAACTTTGTATACCACGTATGTCAGGCCAATCCTGGAGTATGCAACTCCAGCATGGAGTCCATCTCCTGCCAAGCATAAAACTAAATTGGAGATGGGTCAGAGGTTTGCCATCAAAATTGTGCCCGAATTGTGGGGCATGAACTATGAGGAAAGACTACGGGAATTAAACCTCACGTCGCTAGAAGACAGAAGAGCTAGGAGGGACATGATCACAACATACAAGATTCTGAAAGGTATTGATAGGATTGAGAAATACAGTTTATTTAAAACCAGGGGCACACGCACTAGGAAACACAGGTGGAAAATGAGTGTCCAAACGAGCCATAAAGACACGAGAAAGAATTGTTATAGTGTAAGTGTAGTTGACAAATGGAAAGCATTAGGAAGTGATGAGGTGGAGGCTGACTCTATACGCAATTTCGAATGTAGATATGATAGAGCCCAATAGGCTCAGGAACCTGCATGTACACTTGTTGAATGATGGTTGGGAGGCGGGACCAAAGAGCCGAAGCTCAACCCTCGCCAGCACAATTAGATGAGTACACAAATACACGGTCCTCGCAGCCGAGTGGACAGCACTGTGGGGTCGTAGTCTTAAGGGCATGGGTTCGATTTCTAGTCGAGCCAGAAAAAAAATGAGCAGAATTTCTTTCACTTAATGCCTTTGCTCACCTACCAGTAAATAGATACCTGGGAGTTAGACAGCTGACATAGGCTGCATCCTGGGGATGTCTATGTGTGCGTGTCAGAAATATATGATAAATGTAAAAGTCATTATATATAAAAAAATAAGATAGTTTGGTTAGAAAGGCGGTGTTCAAGAGCTAATAGCTTTGTGTATTTAAAATTTGTGTCTTGAGAATAGTCTTTACCAATAATCTATTGAAAAAATGCTGTGGTATCAATCTAATATCCCGCTTAGGCATAAAAGCACACATGTCTGCGAGTGACAGAGAGAGAGAGAGAGAGAGAGAGAGAAACAGACGAACACAGAATAGTTTAGGTAACTACCAGAAACATTAGCAGCCAGCTACCCCCCCCCCCCTCCTCCTCCTCCTCCATTGCACTCTTCCCTTCCCTCCTTCATTCTCTCTAATTATACACCTTTCGTCCGTTACTTCATCTTATTTCCATCATATTCCCTCATTCCTCCACGAATCTGTATTTCCCTCCATCCCTCACTCTCTAAACAACAACTGGTCTATTGTGAGTTACACATAAGGAGGGTCCATCACTGACTTACATCAACAATGCATTAGTGCAGGGGGGGACGGGGAGAGAGAGAGAGAGAGAGAGAGAGAGAGAGAGAGAGAGAGAGAGAGAGAGAGAGAGAGAGAGAGAGAGAGAGAGAGAGAGAGAGAGACAGTCAGACAGAAGGAGGAGAGGGATTACTCAGTTATAAGGTAGTTGGATCTCTAGCACCAATAGAGGAGCAGCATATATTATGTCTCTCCTCCTCACGTTCCTGGGCGTGTTTTTCCCCTAGTCTTATATCCATAATTTATTCCACTCTGACTTTTCAACTCGCCCTTAAATTCTTTCATCCTCTCCCATGTACCCCAGTCATACTCCTGCCCCCTGGCTTCTTACATGAAACATCGAGCCCTCTCCTCAAACACTCACAGTTCGAGCCCCAGAACCATCCCTTCTTCAGTCTCCTCCTTTTTGCCTCGTAGACAAAGAACCTTGCTGCTCCTACTTATCACTGATTTATTCAATAAGCCCAACCCAATCCATTTCCGCCCCCTCCCAATCGAAACAATGATGTTCGCAAGCCGAGGTTGGCATTGGAGGGATACAAAATAAATGAGAGCTTAACATCTGGTATAGCAATACTGACGGACTAACAAATAAAGGGGACTACATTAATGAAAACATTGAGGACAATGACCTCAGCATATTTGCAATAATATAAACCGATGCTATAAAAATAGACGTGTTCTCTTTCCCAAATAATTAACATATATATATATATATATATATATATATATATATATATATATATATATATATATATATATATATATATATATATATATATATATATATATATGGGCACTAATTGTGTGGTTTTAAAAATACTGTTAGCCACGATGGCGAAATAGATAAGCCTCGATTAGCCCAGCGAGTATTCAGTACATGGTTCACAACTTTTGATATGTTCAGTGTAACTACTTGAGCAGACAATACATATATGAACGTATGTTTACATTTGGAATATACCTAAAATATATCGGGAATTAGCCGAGTTTGGGCTTATTTACAAGGAGGTAAAGGGACCTACCATAGACTATACTATTATATTTACACGGAGTTTGACGCAAATGTCCACTCCAAGGAGTCCTTTGAATAGTTCACGAGTAGACCCAAACAGTCTCACACTGAAATGTACACATTTTCAGCCTCAAACGAATCTAATTTGGTCTGACTCAAATAGATAATCGGTTCTCAGTCAACATAGACACAACTTCTTGTCAATCAAGTGTAAATATTATTTGGAGTGAATAACACATTAAGTCAAGAATCAAAGAATTACAGTTTAAATCTGTCTCATTAATTCAAAACTACAATTCTTTCCCAGTTTAAGCTGAAACTGCTCTTCGATTAAGCTCTATTGTCCTACAGTGAATTTTCAGGAATATTAGGCATTTTAACTACACGTAATCGCTTTCAAAAAGCAAAAATTAATTTAAAGTATCACTGTTGGGCATGGGCCGGTATCAAAGTCACATTCTACCATTAAGTAACACAGATCTGAGTTCATCGAATATTATCCTGAACAGAACTGTTCTTCAGAAACTTTACATATACACTCACATTAAGATGGACCAATTATATGACCATTGTCTTTCCAGGTAAAAATTATACCAGAGAACCGTGTCCTTAAACAGATGGATAATTAATAATGTTCATTATATAGAAAATTTCAAAGACTGAAATGTTAACAAAACCATGTGACCCAAGAGGCGCCCACGGCCTCCAGTGTTCACCCCAAGAGGCGCTCTCTTAAGTGGCAAGGACGAGTAGGGTATACGAACCACACGTCGGCTTGAGAAATATCAATGTGATGGCTATTAGAGTTTAAATCTGAAAATTGTAAAGTTCGCATGAAAGGAAGCTTAACAAGGAGACAGGTGTCGAATGATCTGGGATCGACATAATCTCAAACCTGACACGAGATGCACCTAACCAGAATAACATCTGATGTCTATGCAAAACTGTTTGTTAGGATCGTTTTCAGGAACCTAGAAAAAGACTCCTTCAAAACGGTGTATGCAACTTGTATCAGACAGTGTATGCGCCTAAATAAAGGCTTCCTAACATAAAATAACAAAACAAGGGAACATTCAGAGACGTGCAACAAGACTGATTCTCTGAACCTTTTCGATACAGCATTCTGTCTCCACACTGTGGAAAGAGGAAAGCAGACGACAATTGCGAGTTTACAATTATCAAGAACCCCCCCCCCCCGCCCCCAAGGGTTAAAAAGCTTCTAGTCAAAGGCGAAGGTTCGAAACGTGAGACGAAATCAAGCCAGACAAATGTGAGGACGAAAATCTCTGATCCTGATCTCATCTGAGTGCTATATAGTCTTAATAGCTTGGCGCTTTCTCCTGATGGTTCCCTTCCCTTTACCTCAGTCTCTCACATATACACACACACACGTACCACGGGGGACACAGGTGTTCCCGTGGTACACGAACAAGGGGACGCAGGTGGAAACTGAGTACCCAAATGAGCCACACGGAGGTTAGAAAGAGCTCTGAGTGTCAGAGCAATTAACAGATGGAATGCATTAGGCAGTGATGTGGTGGAGGCTGACTCCATACACAGTTTAAAATGTAGATATGATAGAGCCCAGTAGGCTCAGGAATCTGTACACCAGTTGATTGACAGTCGAGAGGCGGGACCAAAGAGCCGAAGCTCAACCCCCGCAAGCACAACTTTGCGAGTACAAACACACACACCAGCGCGTCCTACACATGATGATATTAAATCTCACGCCTTAGATTGCTTACGTTGATAATACAAATCGGTTTAATATATTTGAAAATGTAAAAGAAGTTCAGGAATCAACGTTTACATATATAATCCTCTGCTTCACGGGAGAACGACTCGTGGGTGGCTTAATCTTCATCATTCGTGAGAATGTCTTAATCCTGGCTTGCCTTGGTCAAGCCACAGCCGGAGGGATCGAACTAGAGTCCAAGACATTGTGCACTCCCTGAGTGATAGTACCGCGGACGGGGCTCACTGGACCCGATTTAACAATTAATATCAATCGAGTTTTTTGGTATTAAATTTCATTAAAAAACAATATGAACGAAAATACATTTTATCAAAATTAAAGTTCTGTCAGAGGAAGAAAAACATCCGTTAGTAATAACTACTTTAGAAAATTAACGCAGATTTTAACTCGATTCAGATAAAATTTTCACGATAAATTACAATACTTAGACAGGATGTGATGGAGGAGACTGAGGAACTCCATACACGATACTGCTAACCCCAGCAGTTGTTAACAGTTACCCATCGAACAATGTGAACAGTAACCCTATTAATTAACGTAATGCCTTAACTGAATATTCAACTGATCTCCGTAACAAAGCGCAGGCATCATTTACCCCGGATGGGAAGACTGAAGATCAGGAAAGGGAAGGGGGAGGGGGAATGTACTCGCTCCAAGACAGTACTCACTCTAAGAGGATCCTTGAGCATCCACTCTTCACCAGTCTTGTAGAGCCACAGGCCCAGGAACCCTTTACCAGACCCGCTCATCTCTCCTGTCTCCTGGAAGGGTATCTGAGACGATGGGACGGTCTCTGCGAGCTCCGATGGAGATCGAAACCTTTTGTTTTCGTCTGTCTCGTGGTCCTCGCTCGCGCTGAGGACAGGAGAATCTGAAACAAATGGAAATAAAAACCTTAGCCACACGCATTGCATATAGAAATTTGAGACAAGTTCGAACAGCTTTCAGAGTAACAAGAACCATAGGGAGAGGGAACTGACCTCTGGAAGGAGGACGAGAAGAAGGTCTTCAACCTCGCGAGGGCTCAGCGGCGACTGCCGTGGCGAGGCTGCAGCAGCTACCGACGCAGAGGCCTGGACAGGTGGCGGTGCCTCAACAGGTGTTGGGAGCGTGACTGGAGGAAGGCAGGGCGGCGTGGTCCTGGTGGCGGAGGTCTTGTGCCGCCCACTGCCGCCCGCTGCCACCCACGCGCGCCGCGCCCTCCCACCCCCCCAATGTTTCACACACCAGTGGTCTCTTCGGGAATACATAGTCTCCTTAAACACATCATTATTTGTTTATATCCACACTACGATACATTATCCTTAATAAGCTTATTTATCCCTTCATAATATATTTCCCCACGACATAAAAGAGTCCTCATGTTTACAAAAAACGGAGATAAATATACATTTTACATTTACAATGCATTGCCATGGGCTCTGGGTCTATGGCCGCTCAACCAACGGGCCGAGCCGCGATTGGTGGAGAGGAAGCCGTACGCGTGCCTGATTGGCTGGTGATCCCTGTCAAGGGCGTGCCTCATTGGTCATATTAGCGAGGCAGCAGACAGACATCTCACGGTAGAAACAATTAAACAGAAGTAGCTCCTGACGGCCATAATAAACAGCCCGGATTCTCTCCATTTGCCGCCCCCGTAAAAGTAAATAATCGTTCTGCCTTACCCAAACACACACCAACCCTAACAACCCATCTTACCTTTGCAGGCCGATGCATAAAAAGCGTAAATTTTACGGTGCTTTAATTCTGACTACTTGCTCTACTGTGTGTGTGTGTTGGGGGGGGGGGAGCCGGTGGTCGAGCGGACAGCACGCTGGGTACGTGATCCTGTGGTCCCTGGTTCGATCCCGGGCGCCGGCGAGAAACGATGGGCAGAGTTTCTTTAACCCTATGCCCCTGTTACCTAGCAGTAAATAGGTACTTGGGAGTTAGTCAGCTGTCACGGGCTGCTTCCTGGTGTGTGTGTGTGTGTGTGTGTGTGTGTGTGTGTGTGTGTGTGTGTGTGTGTGTAGGAAAAAAAAAGTAGTAGAAACAGTTGATTGACAGTTGAGAGGCGGGCCGAAAGAGCAGAGCTCATCCCCTGCAAACACAACTAGGTGAATACAACTAGGTGAATACAGTTAATCTGTGTTGTTCTTGTAACACAAACAAGTAAATATCAACATCGCATTTTTAAAGATCTGATATATTCCGTTTAAAACTTGGACGTATTAGTCCTAGTAACTGGTTGTACCGATGGACCCACATCGGGACCACAGACGACCTACATCACGGGACCAAAGAGCTGGAGCTCAACCCCCGCAAGCACAACTAGGCCAGTACTTAGAAAAAACGTCAAAACTGTAGGCACTAATTGAAAGTTAATTTATTCTTATTTTAGTCAATGCTAAAATTAGTTCAATAAAGTAACTCGTTGTAAAAATAAAAGTAATAAAATAAATAACATTTTTTTCCATTAATATTACAAAATCATTAATAGTTAAAATATTTACATATAATAATTAGCAACATTCACTCGCCTGAGGTCTAATACTACGACTTTTTTGTTTGTTGACGGAATCTACCCAAGCAGATAAGAATGTGACGAATAAATGTAAGCTGAACTACTACAGGTTATTGACGCTGTTCATCCCTCTGCTTCGGTTGCTTGGGTGCGCTGACTTCGTACGCTTCTGGTTAGACAAATCCATTGTATTTTATTACGGAGTGGCAAATCGAGAAAGCGGTTTGAATATTGTAAGACTTCAGATTAAACTATATTAACATTGGAAACAACTTTACCTTTCCAGGCAAAGTAGCAAGTGAACACCAACACCACCACTCACTCGCCCGCCAAACACGCACCGAAACTACGACGTTGGTACAAGGTTCGAACAAGTTTTAACACCTAACCAGTTATAATAAACAATATAGCAAGTTGAAACAACGTTCTAATACGCCATAAACACGTTAAGCCAAGATGTAATAACTTTATTACAAGTTGTAACAAGAGGAAAATAGAGACAGTTTTGGTTTGTGCTTCCAGGGGATCCAGTATTACGGAGCACCACCACTCACTTCAGTATCACGGAACACGAGCACCACCACACACAAAGTCACGAAACACTAGATCAAAATTCATATCTGACCTGCGCATGAAACAATCCACCGATCCCATTTATATTATGCTTCCAATAATTTATTCCATTCAACAACAACGTTTCCAAACCAGTATTTACCCAGGTGTTTCTGACTCTAAACTTAACCAACTTATATACATTGTTTCGAGTTCTGTTTTATGAAGTATTTAATACCCTAAATATATCCCCTCTTTGATATAACCTTTCATCAATCTATATACTTCAATCACGTCACCCACAAACTCTTCTTCTTTGTAGACAACCTTAGGTAGGCAATTCTTTAATCTCTCCTCAAATGGATGATTTCATATTCCTAGGACTGACTTTCTCATCCTTCTACGCTCCGATTAAAGTTATATTATGTCCATCATATAGTACAGCGACCAAAATTGAACTGCATAATCCAACTGAGGCTTAAAAATGGGCTAGATAAAATAAAATAATAATATTAGATATCTTGTTGTCAACGCCTTTTGAAATTGGATCTCTGTATCATCTTTGCCTGTATCATCCGCGCACTTACGGATTGATGTTATGGCCTAAGATCTCTTCCAATCACGACCTTTGGACCTTTCTTGCGTTCAGACTTCGCAATTTCAACCTTGTCCAGCTGATAACTGAGAACAATTCCTAACCACAGAACCACATTTTTTCAGCATTAAACTGCATCTTCCAATGTTACGACCATTTTGAAAACACATCTACAACATCTTGCAAGTATAATGCGTTTTCTGAATTTATTTGGTGCCCTATTTTTTGTATATTCAAATTTTTATATGTTGCTGTTTAAATTATGTCTAAATTATTTATAGATATGATTAAGAACAGAGGTCCCATGACAGACCCATGGGGCACACCACTTAAAATAATTCCCCACTGACTGTGTTACATTTGTGCTAACACTGCTTTGCAATACTGCAGTCCTAATCCGAACTTAATATAATACAACTATGTAGCATCACGAAATGCCAGCTCCACAAATCAGAATGATCACGGAATACCAGCACTAGACTCGGCAGAAATTTGGAAGCACCATCACACTCCCTGTAATCACCATCACCATTTGTTCACCATCACACTCATCAGCATCTGTTTTGCAAATCTCGAGGACGCAGGAAGAGGAGGACTCTTGCCACAGCCTTCTTGGTGGTGGAAAAAGCAGACTCCAACCAGACTGTTTCTGGCCCTCCCGAATCCCACGACCTTTGCTGGGCTAACAATATCTAGTGAAGTTAGACAATAAGAGTGAGTGGTAAGGCAGTTGTCTCTGAGAACTACCTGCTAACAAGGCTATTATGTGCCGGGTGACGTCATGCTTCAGTTGTTATTGATTGTTTGGGAAGGGGGAAGGGGGGGGGGACAGCAAAAGGAGTTTGGTACTAAACTGTATCTACTGAAGTGTATGGAGCCTGTTTTATAGGCAAGTAAACTGGAAGACATTAACGACTTGAGGCACTAAAGCATTACACATGCGCGTCTCCACATAGTACAATCTAAGTTACGCCATTAATGTCCATACAAATTTGAGAGACATTTCCATATAATTTAGTTGGGGTTTGTGTTAATCACTCCAGATCTTCTAGGTAATAACTACATAGTCCCTGGGCCTGTTCTGATAAAACTAGAGCCCGTGAATGATCATCTAGAGCCCGGGGATTGTGCCTCTAGAACACGGTGGGCTTTACTAGCTAGATTGTAAGAAAATATCTTCCATATTTGTACGGATATTATAGGAACGACTTCAAAGAACAGTTTCATATGAACGAAGTCTAATAATAGAATTCAGGTAATAATCGATATATTTAGAAGCCGAGGCTCTACCGATGGCTCCAGAATCATGATTCCACCTTCCGTTCTTATACGGCATGTTGCTAGACATTCCAGTATCCACAACGCTTCTTATTTCGTCCCGAAATTTTTGAAGTACAAGCTAAAGCCGTTCCTAACTCTTCAGCGCTCAAGCCAAGGTTACATGCGCGTGTTAGTCGCAGGCGACGTCACTTCCAGAAAGCGCAACCAAATGGAATATTTAATAGGTAGCAGCAAACCGCTTGTCTGTCTCACCGATAGACAGCAAACAGATTTCATATCATTTGCCCTGTATCTTCAACTTGTGCTTCTGGTACTCAGCTGCACTGGGTAGTGAACGAATCTGTTGTGTGCTGACACACACACTCGCGCAATTGTCAAAAGAACGCAGCAAGTCTTCCAGACTTGGTGCGTTCTTTTGCGTGAATAGCAGAAGAAATTAAAAAAAAATTGTTTCATAACAATGGGTGCTGTTAATATAATCCTTCGCCAAGCGGATCAGGGCCTATTAAAATTTCACAAGCAGGATCCTCCACGGGAGGAGATTCGAACAGCGGGAAAGGAAACATCGCGGAGGTGTACAGAGAAAGTACTATCGTCAGGCCATCATTGCCGAGAAAAAGACACAAGAAATACAGCCCACCAGAATAGTAGTCAAAACGGCACAAGCGGAAACCTGGTGTTGTAAGGACAGCTGGAAGTACCGAAGGTGATAATGATCACAATGATACGGTAGAGATGGAGCGCTGGTTTCCACATGTAAGATCGACAGAGGATGAACGAAAGGCACCAAAGCCGATTTCGAACTCTGTATAATGCAGAGCCTCAAGATGACAACGAGAGGTCGAGAGCGAAGCCGAGGAATGGGTGGGGACAGCCACAGTCTTGTTTGGACAGGACAAGAGAGGAAGGCAAATAGAGGATAATTTACAATGAATACTACAAGACGCCAGTTGTGTAGAGACCCCGAAAGCCATATTCAGAAGTAGAGATGTCATGAAGCCCACATAAGACCTACCTTAACCACACGCTCAACGTTCACAGCCGCAACTCATCACAGTGATGGGGCGAAAATCTTGAGGGGAAGGTGCCTGGTACACCGGTTTCTTAGTGGGAAGAGCTTCCGCCAGCCGGACCTCGGGGGACAAATGTCGCCTCCTAAATGCGGTTATAAAGACGCAATAAATATCGAAAGGAACACATAGGGAGGTGTCGGAGAACTT